TGTGTGATCATCAGAGAGTGCGAGCGTGAATATTTATGAGAGTCTTGTTGTCAAGCTGCTGTTAACCAATCACGAGGCACTAAATTGTTTCCGGAATAAAGTCTCCCGATCGCAACGAGATTGGAGTTTTCGCGCTTGTTGGAATTTCCTGACACACACGCGGACGTTAGCAGAAATAAAAATTCTTTTTGTTGTTATAATAAATATTAATGTTCAAATTTACTTATTTACGTTGTATGTTTTTAATGTGTGTTGTTGACAACTGTCTTGAAATCCTTTGTTGAAAAGTTAATGTATCATTATTTAGAGGAAGACCCTGCAAGTATTTAAATAAATATGCCATATACATGCTTCGGGGGCCCCCACAAGGGCTTCGCCTCCTTGACCCCACCGGGGCCCTTAAGCGGGCCCCTGGACCCCACGCCCTAAACCGCCCCCTCCAATTGGCTGAAGCTGCATACGGGCCTGACCCGAGATTTTCTTTTTGAAGGGGATCGACTGGGGTCGATTATTTTTTGGAGGGAGTTCTCCCCCACCCCTAGATACGCCACTGAATATGACCAATCATGAAAGTGAATCCGCTGGATACGCAGTGCAACACAGTCAACATGATTGCGAATGTATATGTGAAGAATATAGTTTGGCGGTTTTAAACGGTATTTAAAATAAAATATTATAGATATCAAAGTACAATGTAAATAAGCAGAGTGTAACTACGTAGGCCCACAAGGTTGTAAACACGTGTGCGGTGCACCGAGGAGGAGAAGGGGGAGCTTTGACAAATGCCTATATTCCAAACAGTTTTGATAATGTGTGACATTTTTTTAAATTGTTATTTTATTTTGATTAAAAACCACAACTTGCTTAGCTCAGGCTAAGACCTCATATCTCGTTGACGAGCTGGTTTTCATCACGTGGCTTGATGTCTTGCGTCTGGCTGACAACGTAGATTACTATGATCAAACTGTTTTTGTTATGTGATGAAAACGAAACTTCGACTAGCTGAGCCGGGAGCTAAACTTTATAATTTTTGAATAAAATTGACCTGTATGTAGAAAATATAATATAGGCCTACTTTTTGTTTATTCTAGTAGGCCTAAATAGTAGAACATATAAAGTAAAGTATATTTTAACCAAACATCACATTTTATTTAATTTTAAATGGAATGATGGGATTATGAAGAATTGTTTAGGACTACCCTATGTACTACGTAGTCTACTGTATTACGTCACTAGATAGTGAAATTAATTATAAACAAAAAATATATCAGCCTGTCTTATCATCTTAATATATTTCCTCCATGCTTATATGAGGAGTTGATTCATTTGTGATCTCTTCCTATTCAAGCTGACGTGAATTATTTTAGCATTCCAACGTTTAATAGAAAAAAAAAATTAATAATACAAACCTTCGGGATTCCACTACCAATCGCCGCCCAGGCTTTGCCCAGACGGTACCATGTGTCATGTGCTTTTTTGTTGCGCAGCAGTAAAAAGACGGCGGGTCTCAAAGTTTATGCAGAGTCAGCGCGATCTTCATTTTCAGATAGATGGTTGTAGAAAGGCGAAACAATTTGTATTTAAATCATCTACGGACATCAAATACAGTACAGATAACAATTACTGCCTTCGTAGCACGCGTAGCTACGCGTAAATAACGCGTAGGATTTGCGTAGGCAATGCGTAGGATTTGCGTTGCACGAACCGCTACGTAGCGATCGCTACGCGTTTTAACGCGTCGTAATGCATCAGCTGTTTAACACATTATCAGTCGCCTATATCACTGCCTACACAAGATCTGAACGTTCGTCAGAACAGACGTACTGTCTCTAGTGAAATGAATGTAAAGAGAGTTTCTTTAATTAGGCGTTTAATATACGATAATCATATGAATGCTTTAATCTGCCCTTTCTAGGCCTAAGCCTAATATAATTACCGGCGGCTTAGTCAGTTACCTAAGCCTAGGCCTGCCAGTGCCTACCGACAGCGCGCCTACCGACATTGTCATTGCATTAGACCTCGTCCTAAAATAAATCCCAGAGGTAAACAACATGTCCCATCAGCCACTATGGGAAAACGTGCAGAGTGTGCTACCAAACCATCATTGCTATTTGATGTCCGTAGTTGATTTAAATACAAATTGTTTCGCCTTTCTACAACCATCTATCTTCAAAATGAAGATCGCGCTGACTCTTCATAAACTTTGAGACCCGCCGTCTTTTTACTGCTGCGCAACAAAAAAGCACATAACACATGGTACCGTCTGGGCAAGGCCTGGGCGGCGATTGGTAGTGGAATCCCGGAAGGTTTGTATTAATTAATTTTTTTTTCTATTAAAAGTTGGAATGCTTAAATAATTCACGTCAGCTTGAATAGGAAGAGATCACAAATGAATCAACTCCTCTTATAAGCATGGAGGAAATATATTAAGATGATAAGGCAGGCTGATATATTTTTTGTTTATAATTAATTTCACTATCTAGTGACGTAATACAGTAGACTATGTAGTACATAGGGTAGTCCTACACAATTCTTCATAATCCCATTATTCCATTTAAAATTAAATAAAATGTGATGTTTGGTTAAAATATACTTTACTTTACACGTTCTACTACTTAGGCCTACTAGAATAAACAAAAAGTAGGCCTATATTATATTTTCTACATATTGGTCAATTTTATTCAAAAATTATAAAGTTCAGCTCCCGGCTCAGCTAGTCGAAGTTTCGTTTTCATCACATAACAAAACAGTTTGATCATAGT